GTTTAGAGAAAAAACTTTTACTTAATGTTAAGTAGCTTAACATTTACATAGTATTTCAATGCAAACTTTAGAAAACAAATTAAAATATTTAAACCAAAGCAAGATATTGACAACATAACTTATTATTTTTAGTACTTTTTTTTAACAGATCGCACGTAATGGCTTCACTTAAAAAACATAATATATTGTTGGCTAGTGTTTATCTAAGTTTGAAAGTAGCGCCAGTGGTGGAGAAATTGAAAACCAAAAGGTTATCGTGGTATGGATATGTTATGCGACAAGACGATGGGAACATAAACCAGAAAGAATGAATGTGGGTGGCTACAAAGGAAGAGGAAGACCGAAGACAGACCAGACCGAAGAAATATGACAGCTGATAGAGATGTATGGAAGAGCAGCACATACTGTGCCGACCTTCCATAAGGGATAAGGGCAAGTTGATGATGATGGCTTGTATTTATCTACCAAGGAGGCATTGATCAGTGTAGTTTCCTATTTTAAAGCACACTTCAATAATAAAAATCGTTTAAATTCCATCAAAACACCTATAAAAGGAATCATTACTTTCCACTATACGATGTAAGCGTCGCCATGTTTATATTCCGGGAGCGAGGAATTAACGCATTGTTATTCTACTCACGGATTCGTCCCATTTCGATAGGAATTCGCGGAGGTTTTTAAGCAATTTACGTTAAAAGTTTCCGTTTCATTTACAGCTGGGGTTTCAATTTTGTTTTGTAGTTTATTGATTGTTAACATCGATCTAGGTAATTAATTTAAAAGTGAATTCTTGTAAATCAGAATTGATTTTTACAATTTAGTTTACTCTTGGATTAATCAAATATCACATCTATTTAAATTAGAAATAAACAAATTGTTAATCTAAAAATAGAATAATAAAACAATTGAATACCGGCACTCTAAACTCTGTTTCGTATTAAGGCCCTCTTATACCAGATTGCGCATTTTTGGAAGCATAGAACAGGATTTCTACAAAGATTTGATTCGTAATATTTTAGTATGTGTGACTTCAGTCCTTTAACTAAAGTCTCGTGGAACAGAATCACGATTGGACAACCTTTCTCGATGGATTTATTTTTTGAAAATGTGCCTAATTCTGTAAAAATCACCATATATCTGTAAAACTACAACGAAAGTAAAAAATCGAAGTGGTTTGTTTGATACACGAGTACTTTATCTTCCGTTAACCGGAAGCTTTTTGCAAAAACGCAAATTGTCGGTGATAGAGCGCCTTAACTGATGTCCAATGTCTAAAAAGTGACTAAGGGAGTTCCTTAGTCCAGGTTTTATGTGAGAACTTTACGTGCTAGTGTTTAAATTAACATTAAACCACTCTTAAGATCTGTTTGAAACTTCACGATTTAAATTTTTCTTATAACATTTTTTTTAAATTGCAAAACCAGCGCTTGACCACTATCCCACCTAGACCAAGATGAAGATGTGGTCGAAGTATGGTACGCGCTAGTTTAGTAAGTACCGATTCACCCTGCTCTTAAAGGCACCCACGTTATAACTTGACGGGAACACTGACGCCGGTAACTTACGGTAACCAGCGCACCCGCGGACAAACCAATTATATGGTTTTTGCGGGGCCATATTTGTGCATATTTTTAATTTGTGTCATGTAATGTTTTTCAATAATAATAATAAATAATTATTCCACTCCTTTGCTGTGCGCACGAGAAACGATGTCTCGAATCGCTTTTACAGTTTTTTTTTTATAAAATTTATAGTTAAGCTTTCCAATTTTAATTTAGCGTTTATACATGTAACATATAGGCTATGATTATCAATATTTCGAACAAAAGATATATGTTATAGAATTAGGAAACAGATCAAAGCCGGTTTTAGAATTACCTGCGCCCAAGGTAATGTTAAAATGTGCTTGTGGCGCCCTTTACGCGCATGTGATGCCTTTATATCCGACGCCCTCGCCTTACCCTAACGCCCCTATTGCATTGAGATATAATACATATACATATGTAACAGTATCGCATATTGGAAAAGCAATTTGATTGAAAGACGGATTGCATGTTTGTAATTTCCGTTTACATAGTGCAGCTGTCGTATGTACCTTGCTAGCTTTCAGATTAAGGTGCGGTTGAACTGAAATTCAATTGCGTATACAGATAACTGTGTAATCTGAAACTGAAACTAAACTATCGCACAACTGTTTAGTCTAGCTTTGATTTTTATGAGATTTCTAGCTGTCGCTCGCGACACCATCCGCGTGGAATGAAAAAAAAAATCAAAAGTGAATAGTGTGTTCTTCCAGACTATTCTCTACATCTATACCAAATTTCATAGAAATCCGATCAGCCGTTTAGGCTACAAACTC